GAAAAGGAAGTGAGCCCCCCAACTGCATACTCCCAGCAAGATCCCCATGTGGCTTTAGTCCCCTTTCTCCTTGTAACACGACCAAACCGGAGAAGATGCTGTAGGAGTGGGTGAGATGAGGGAGAAATTGAAGAAAGAAGGAAAAGAGACTGATCTCAAGGGGCCACCAGGTGCCAGCAGTGGGAGGGAAGATACAATTCAGGCGGGTTGAATTGCGTCCCCTAAAAAGATGAGTCTGCATCCTGACCTCCAGTCACTGGGACTGGGACTTTATTTGGAAAGGGGTCTTTGTATATGTAATTAGAGATCTCTCAAGATGAGGTCATCCTGAATACAATGGTTGGTGTCCTTACCCAAGGGGGAGAGGATGCAGTGACAGGGCCACGGGAAGAGGCAGGCAGAGGCTGGAGCGATGCCGCCACAAGCCAGGAACGCTGAGAGCCACCAGAAGCTGGAAGGGATGTGGACACAACCTCCCATGGAAGCTTCAGATGAAGCATGGTCCTGCTGACGCCTGAATTCAGGGCTTCCAGCCTCCAGGGCTGTGGGATAATAAGCTTGTGTTCTTGTGTGGTTGTTTGTTACAGCAGCCCTGGGAGACTAATACTGGCGCTGCCCACTTGTGTGAGCACAGTGACTGAAAGGAAAGCTCTTTCAGAAGTTCCCATCAACCACACTCTCTCCCTGAGCGGCCGTTTCTGCCTCTGTAAAAGGAGGCGAGTGCTTCCAGCCCTGATGAGATGATGGCTGGAAAAGGGCCTTGTCAGCAGGGCAGTTCTGATGGGGTGGGGGAGGAGCTGTTAGAGCCCCACAGCTGGGTGAGTCCTGGCACCTCTCCCGGCCTCAGTTTTCTCAAAGTGGAGCCGGAAGCCCTGCCCTCATGATGCCATTGCAGGAGAGATGAGAGGCGGGAGGGCTCTGATGGGTTAAGTTAGGGCTGCGTGCAAGAGAGCTGAGAACGCACAGCGCCCTGAGGATTGCTGTTAAGTGGAGGTGAGAGTTTCTTTTGCACTGTTTTTTTTTTTTAATGGTTTTATTTATTTTTAAACGGAGTATAATTGCTTTACAATATGGTGTCCATTTCTGCTGTACAACAACATGAATCAGCTATATATATACATATACCCCCTCCCTCTTGGGTCCCCCTCCCACCCCTGCCAATCCCACCCATCTATGTCACAACAGAGCACCCAACTTAGCTCCCTGTGCTATAGAGCAGCTTCCCACCAGCTGTCTATTTTATACATGGTAGCATATATATGTGGAGAAGGAAATGGCAACCCACTCCAGTGTTCTTGCCTGGAGAATCCCAGGGATGGCAGAGCCTGGTGGGCTGCCGTCTATGGGGTCGCACAGAGTTGGACACAACTGAAGCGACTTAGCAGCAGTAGCAGCAGCAGCATATATATGTCATCCGACCCTCTCCCTCCCCTGCTGTGCCCACAAGTTTGTTTTCTACATCTGCATCTCTATTCCTGCTCTACAAATAGGTTCATCTCTACCATTTTGCTAGATTCCATATATGTGCGTTAATATATGATATTTGTTTTTCTCTTTCTGACTTACTTCACTCTCTATGACAGAGTCTAGGTCCACCCCCGTCACTACCAAATGACCTCTTTTGCACTCTTCAGTCATTGGACAGCCTTTTGAACAAAGAAGGTGGTCTGGGCCCACCCAGGAGGAGCTCGCTGGCCCCCAGAGGAATAGGCATCTATTGGGAAAAGTAAGTTCCTACACCTGCACCCTAAAAGTGCAGGTGCCAGGGAGGGACAGAGGGAAAGAAGGGAGACTCCAGGTCGCATGGATGGGGCGGGCCTAGGTTCCCAAAAAGGATGATTTGAGTTATGGTTTACAAGGTGTCTGGACGAGAAGTGACATTTATGACTGTCGTCTCCTTTCTTCCTGGTCTCCCTTTTATCCACCTGTTGCCACAGAGAGGCATGCTGAGCCAAATCCAACATGGGCAATTCCACAAATGGAGGCACGTGAAACAACAAACCCCAAAACATCACATTCAGAATACATTCTGAAGGTTACAGACCACTTCCAAATGCACTTGTGGTCACCACAATACCCAAAAAGGAAAGAGGTTATGATCCTGGCTCTGTGGATAAAAAAGCAAGAGTCAGGAAAGTGAAGGAACTGCTCAGGGCCACTTGCTCTTTTTCTCTTTTTTGTCCGGGAGGTGGGAGGTCAAGCCACATGGCTTGTGGAACCTTTCCCTGACTGGTTGGTGAGAGCAGAGTCTCAACCACCGGACCGTCAGGGAATTCCCTGCTTTGCTCTTCCCAGGATTCCTCATGCCTTCCTCCTGCCTCACTGGGTAATTGGGGGCCTGTGTATCTCCGGGAACACCCCACGGCTCACATCGCCCAACAGATGTGCTCTCAAAATCCTCCAAGGGCTCCAGGTGTCAGCCGGGCTGTCCAGCCCCTCCCCTCCACTTGTCCCCACCTCAGCACCCGGGTGCAGCTTCTCTTCCTGCCTAGAATGCTTGTCCTAGGCACTAGTGCACACCCCTGTCCTTTCCAGGCTTCCCATTTCCTTGGGAGGCCCAAACCCAGTACAGAGTCCCGAGGTCCTGGTTCAAGTTCCAGCTCTGCTACTCATTGCTGTGTGACACTGGGCAGGTCACTTCCCCTCTCTGGGCCTCCATTTCCTCACTTATGAAACAGGGGAGTTGAACCCAGTATTTCCTAAGTTCTTCATATGGTCTAAGTCTAAGCCTTCTGGCCCCTCTCCCCCTGCTCTGCTCTCCCTGAGTCTCACCATCCCCAAGAGCCTCTCATTCCTCCACATCCTTCTCCAAAGGGCTCCCATTTAATCATGCAGCTTAACGTTAATCTCCTTAAGAGCAGAGGTGGGTATTTGTGGCACGTGCTAACCAGGTGTTCTGCCAAGACATTCTGATTGATTAATCAGTAATCCACTGACCATGTCTCTTTACCTTAGTAAACTCTTATCATTAATCTTCCCTCTTTAGTTTCCCAAGCTGCAAACCCAGAGGCCTGCAGTGACTGGGAGTCTGGTGGGTCACTGCCTCTCTATTCACCCTTCCTGCTGTCTGTGTATGACTGTGGGGTGGGTGCCTGTGCCTGCCGCAGTGTCTACAGGGTGGGGATGAGGCCAGCTGTAGGCTTCAAATGCCTCATAACCCATTCTGTCTCTGAAGCCCATCACTGCCATGGCCATCAAAAAAAAAAAAAAAGACAGCACACACCCTTTGCCTTCCCCCCTTCAAAGAACTTCATATCTCATCTGGTCCCCTAATACCCTTTGTAAGGCAAAGCCAGGATTGTTTCCAAGGGACCTGTAAGAGGCCACTCTGAATTCAGCAAAAGCTAGGACAGGCTCTTTTTTTTTTTCATGTTTAAATTAAAAAAAATTTTTTTTCCATTTATTTTTATTAGTTGGAGGCTAATTATTTTACAATATTGTAGTGGTTTTTGCCGTACATTGACATGGATCAGCCATGGATGTACATGTGTTCCCCATCCTGATCCCCCCTCCCGCCCAGGACTGACTCTTTGTCAAGCTCCAGTTTGCACAGGATGACTGCCTGCCTGGTTGTGCAGCCACATCACTTTCCCTTCAAGAACTTAAGTCTGAGAGGCCAGGTTAGTACACACACACACCCCCACTCACCCATCCCCTTACAAGGTATGTAGCTACAGGAAAAGCTAATAAGCCAGATGATCAATAGTGTGGTTGAGGATCCATAAAAAGGCCTTGGGCTTCCCGGGTAGTTCAGTTGGTAAAGTATCCACCTGCAGGAGACCTCAGTTCCATTCCTGGGTCGGGAAGTTCCCCTGGAGAAGGAAAAGGCTACCCATTCCAGTATTCTTGGGCTTCCCTGGCGGTTCAGATGGTGAAGAATCTGCCTGCAGTACCAGAGACTTAGGTTCTATCCCTGGGTTGGAAGATCCCCTGGAGGAGAGCATGGCAACCCAGTCCAGTATTCTTGCCTGGAGAATCCCCATGGACAGAGGAGCCTGGTGGGCTACAGTCCATGGGGTCGCAAAGAGTCCGACATGACCGAGCGACGAAGCACAAAAAAGGCCTTAGAGATCAACTGCAACCCACTCAGCGTAAACTGAGACTCAGAAAGAACAGGATTTGCCCCAAGTTACAGAACTAAATGGAGGCTAGAGCCCAGGTCTCTGGACTCCAGGTCCAGTGCTCTTGCCGCTGCTTGCACGGCTAGCAAACATGGCAAAGAAGGGAGAAGAAGGAGCTCAGAGAGCGGGGGCCACAGGTGGGAGTCTCCTCCACATTAGTCTGGGAGTTCCGAGTTCCTCTGGGAGGAGGAGGGCTGAGGCCGCAAGGGGCGGCAACCTCGGAGTAGCCAGGGAGTCGGTCATGGGGGTGGCCGGGGTGCGTGTTGTTTTTCTTTGCTCTGTGTGTCCCTTTGACTATCACCGTGTCTGCTGAGTGGCAGAGGTCCAGGTGGAGCACCTTCCAGACCTGAGAAATGGGGGCCTGTGGAAAGGGTGAGGGTGGCAACGCCCCTCTCGCTGGGGCACTCCTCACACAGCTGGGTGGAGCTGACCACCGGGTCCGCCAGCGGCCCAGAGCCCCTCCCACGGGGGAGAGGACACTGGTGGGGCGGGGCTGCGGGTGCCGGGGGGTTTTCTCCCTGTCTCCACCCCGTGCATTCTTCTGAAGGGCAGGCTCAGTGGCTCTGCCCTCCAGGAGGCCTCGGAGCTCTCGGGCCTCTGTTCCTAGAAGTGGAGGTGGGCGTGGAAGCTGCAGGGGAGAGGGGCCCATGGACCCCTCCAACTCCACCTGGGCGCCGGGCTTGGCTCGCGCCTCAGGCTGGCGAGGGGCGGGGCGACCCCTGGGAGGTCGCGGAGTCGGGCGTGGGTGGCTCGCTCTTAGGTGCAGGCCGGGAGATGCGCGCGTTGCCCCGCCTCGGCTCCGCCCCCGCCCGCCCGGCCCCGCCCCGCGCGGGCGGGGTGGGCGGGGCCCGCGGGGAGGCGCGCCGACCGCCCGGCCAGGTGCAGCGAGCCGGCGTTCCAGCGGCACACGGGGCCGGGAGGAGTCCAGGTCTCCTCCTGCGAGTGCTGCGTCCCTGCGCCCTTTCTGCCGGATGCCCGGGACCCTCGGAGCCCAGGTAACCGAGGGCAAGACTGCCCCGTGACGCGCGTCCTTCCGCCTCCCCGTCCACGCGCACCCCACTTCGGCCGCCGCCCCCTCGGGCTCCTTGGAGCCCGGCGGCGGCTCCCCGGGCGGCTCTTGGAAAGTTTACTCCGGGACGGCCCTGCACCCGGCGGCCGTGAAATGCAGCCTGTTTTGCCCCCACTCCTCCGCCCAGGAGCCCATGCGAAGGTGGGACGGCCGCTGCCCTGGCACAGGGTCCCCGCTAAGATCCGAGTGAAGTTTGCCTTCTAGCTTTTCCCGTCTCTCGCTCTTCTGAGCGTTTGCGTCCCTCCCCCTTGTTCCTCGATTCCTTAAGAAAAATATATATCCTTAGATGGGGAAGGCAGAGTTGGCGATTTCTTAAGGGATGTTTACGTTTGTGCTTCCCGCCTCCCCCAGCCAAGATGTATGATAGGAGACTCGGCTGAGCCCGACCGGGTGCGGGTGAGGGGGCAGCCCTCTGCCCGGTGGGGGTGGGGGTCACCGTCAGGGCCCTGAATAACCGAGTGCCCAGCCACGAGGAGTTCCGGGCTTCTATCTTGCCTCCCTCAGGCCACAGCCCTGCTGGGCATCCTCCACAGCCCCCCTCCCTCCGCTTCCCTCTCCACTCCCCTCCTCCCTCCCCGACTCCTCAAGATGATCAGTAAGGAGAGAGGGTGGGCAGAGGCAGGGATTAGAGCGAGCTCTATAACCCTTGACCATTTGAACAGAATGGGCTTCTCTTGCTGAGGCTGCCAGGAGGGCTCAGCTGTGTGTGACGAAGAGGGTAAAAGATGGTCCTAACTACGCAGAGGCAGAAAGAACAGGTGGACGAGGTCAGAGGATCAGAGAGGAGCTAACAGCACTCACATGGGCACTTCCCTGAATTCACCCACCACCACCACCCCCGCCCCATTAACCAGCGAAGAGGTAGGTCTTTTTCCATTGTCAGATAGGCAAAAACGGAGGCTCCAAGAGGTTAAGTAATTTGCTGGAGAAAAGTGGTGGACTTGGACCACAAACCACAGTCACATTGTTGGTTCTCCATTTTGCTGGGCCCCTGATCATCAAGGGTTCATTTCTTCTCTCCCTCTCTTGAGGTTCTTCCCCTGAAAGAGGTAGGAAGCACACCTCCAAGAAGAATTAAAATCTTGTCGGGAAGCTCTTCCAAGAGAGGGCAAGCTCCTTGCTAAGCTACAAGGTCTGCAGGAGGCAGAGACCTGTTTTGCTCACAGCTGTAGCCCTGGTGGCACTAGTGGTAAAGAACCCACCTGCCAGTGCAGGAGACAAGAAAGCGGGTTGGATCCCTGGATCGGGAAGATCCCCTGGAGGGCGGCATGGCAACCCACCGCAGTATTCTTGCCTGGAGAATCCCATGGACAGAGGAGTCTGGCAGGCTACAGTCCATGGGGTCACAAAGAGTCAGACACGACTAAAGTGACTTAGCATACACACATAGCCACACAAGAATGGAATGAATTAACCTGAAATAGCAAAGACTCTTTTCCAGCTGACGGATCTTCGCCCTTGTGGAACAGAAAGGGCATTCTGATAAGTCAGACCAGAAAGGTGTCCAATGCCATTCCTGAAGGCCCTTGAAATCTTTACCCAACTTTTTTTTTTTTTTTAAGCCAGTGAGCATGTCCTTAATCCCATCTGTCTTTCCAGACAGCTGGCCTTTCACTTTACCCTCCATCCACTTCTGGTTAGGCTAGGAGAAGCAGCAGGTAGTGGGTTACATGTCCACCATGGCCTTGCTCTAGGTCGGAGGCAGAGGGCCTTTGGCCCATCTATACCAAAGTCTTACCCATTTTTCCAGGAAATCTTATTTGGAAATGCTAGTCTTCATTCCCTTCTTCCTCTCCTTACCATTCCATGGGACCACCATGGATTTAGGGAAAAGGACTCAATTTCTTCATCTGCAAAATGGGAACAATAGACTCTGCATGGTTTCATGCAAGAGTATGTAGTCCAAATGGCTCTGTAAGCTGCAAAGCAAACTGAGTGGTATTTCCTCATATGTTTGTCTGTTGGCCTGACCTCCTGAGGTGGGCTGTAAATTCCTTCCAGGAAGTGATCATACAACTTGATTGTCCCTCTAAGAGCACTCCTCATAATGAGCACACAGTAGGTTCACATGAAGTACCTGTCAATCAAAAATAATCTCTAGAGGAAGAGAAATGGCTAAAAATTGGTGAAAAATCACCCCTCTCTAGCCATGTAAGGAGAAGGGATACTCTACAACACAGGGGAGATTCTAGGAGGGACGGGAGGGGTCTGAGATCCAAGGCTGGCATCGAGTGGAAAGGCAGGGTGTAGCAGATTTTCTATGGCAGTGCCCTGAAGACATCTGAAGCTCTGCCAGGAACCCTATAACCTTGGATTCCTTAGCAGATGTGGTGTCTGCTTTGGCCTGAGAACAGACCAGAATACCCTGAGCTGGCCAGTTCTGCTGCTTGGGGAAGGCCACTGAGAGCATAGCTGGGATTCAAGGCCCTGCACTTTGCCTCCACCGTCACCCTCACCCTTCACACACACACACACACATCAGTGGTTCCTGCACTCATAGGCCCTGCCCGGCTTCCTACTGCTATTCCTGACTCTTAATGAGAACTCAGTGGAGTAAGAGCTTTAGACCCAGAATATCTCAGCTGGCATAAGCCTTAGATTTTACAGTCTTACACCTCTTCTGTGCTCTCCTTTCCACAGCACTATCACCATCTAATATCCTGTATGTTGTTTGTTGTTGTTCAGTCGCTAAGTCGTGTCTGACTCTTTGCGACCCCATGAACTGCAGCACCCCAGGCTTCCCTGTGATTCACTATCTCCTGGAGTTTGCTAAAACTCATGTCCATTGAGTCAGTGCTGCCATCTCACCATCCCATCCTCTGTCACCCCCTTCTCCTCCTGCCCTCAGTCTTGCCCAACATCAGGGTCTTTTCCAAAGAGTCAGCTCTTTGTATCAGGTAGCCAAAGTATTGAAACTTCAGCACCTGTCCTTCCAGTGAATGTTCAGGTTTGATTTCCGTTAGGATTGACTGATTTGATATCCTGTATATTTTACCTTAAAAATCTTATCAGCTGTCTTCCCTGTTAGATTCCATGAGGGCAGGGCTTTCAGGCTGTTTTATTCACTACTCTCCTTCCAGGAGTGAGAGCAGTGCCTCGTGTGCAGTAGGTGCTTATTTCACGTATGTTGAATAAATGAACACATCCAGGCCGCCCTTCCTCATTGTACAGCTGGGGAGACTGAGGCCCGGAGATGAGGAGTGACCTCTATTTCTTTTTAATTTTTTTTTATTGGAGTATAGTTGCTTTACAGTGTTGTGTTTATTTCTACCATACAGCAAAGTGAATCAGTTATAGTCTTATATACATCCCCTCTTTTTTGGATTTCCTTCCCATTTAGGTCACCATGGAGCAGAGATCCCTATGTACTATACAGTAGGTTTCTCAGTACTTATCTATTTTATACCAGTGTGTGTGCTAAGTCACTTCAGTCATGTCTGACTCTTTGTGACCCCATGGACTGTAGCCAGCCAGGCTCCTCTGTCCATGGGATTCTCCAGGCAAGAATACTGCAGTGGGTTGCCGTGCCCTCCTCCAGGAGATCTTCCCCACCCAGGCATCGAATCCCCATGTCTCCTGCATTGGCAGGCAGGTTCTTTACCACTAGTACCACCTGGAAAGCCCATTTTATACATGTGGTATTTGTTTTTCTGACTTCACTCTGTATGATAGTCTCTAGGTTCATCCACATCTCTGCAAATGGCACAATTGTGTTCCTTTTTATGGCTGAATAATGTTCCATTTTGCATATGTACCACATCTTCTTTATCCATTCCTCTGTTGATGGACAAGGAGTGACATCTTCAAGGCAGAGGTGGAGCTTTTCTTGGTTGGATTCGAGTCAGTTCTAAGCTGGGTCTCTGTCCCAGGCACCAGGTTGCTAGGGGTGCTTAGGAGCTGCCTTAGCAAGAACCTTCAGGCCAACTGCCTCCAGTTACTCAGGGGGGAGCTCCTAGCTGAATATATCACCATCCACATAGAGTGATTTGAGAGAGCCAGATGGGGAGCGCTCCCCATCAGACCCCCATTCCCAAAGAAACTGCTGCTCTCCAGAGATGGGCTATGCCTCTGTTAGTGGTGAAAACAGTGCCCTCTCCAGGCAACCTTTTCAAATCCCCCAGGGCCCTAGAGAACCCAAGAGGACCAAAGTCAAGTCCCTGATGGCCCTGGGGAAAGAGATGAATCTTCCGATCTGCTGGGGGAAGGATCACAGACCAGTCTGAGAAGGTGCAACGAGACATGTGGGCCTGGAAGAGTAAGGACATTGTTCTGCTCAGGGCGCCTGGCTCCAAGGCCTCCCTTAGGAATCCCACGAGTGGTTTACTGGAGGCTCCAGGAGCTTGAATTTCCAGGATGCTGTGTCGGGACAAGCGGGTTGGAGAAGCCTGGGTGTGTGTGGGTGGGGGTGGGTAGAGTAGAAGCTGGAACTTTCTATGGGATAGAAAATATGGGAGATACATCCACACATTCACCAGCACTGAGCAATTTAAACCTCCCTTGCCCTGCATCATTCTTCCAGCCACTGTTGTTTCTGCAAAGGACTTTTGTCTGTGTTCTAAGGGAAAACTCAAGGCCATGTGGTGTTTATTGGAGGAAAAGACACTGATGGCAAGAAACCCTCCCAAAGAGGTTATTTCTGGAACAGGAGATGAGGTCCCTACCGGTGTCTCTCCTCTTCACACTCACTGGAAATGTAGACCCTGCCTTTTCTAACTGCAGGGCTGCATTTTTAGTCATAGTAATCAGCACTCACTGAATGCTAATTGGGTGCCAGACACAGTTCTAAGTGCTTGTCCTAGGGAATCCTTACAACAGCCATGAGGTTGAAACTGGATCATCTCCATTTTATAGATGAGGAAACAGCCTCAGCAAGGTGATATAACTTTGGCCAAGACGCCAGTTGCAGGGAGAGGGGTAGCAGAGTTA